CTCTCTCTCTCTCTCTCTCTCTCTCTCTCTCTCTCCTTTCCTAAGGAATCTGATTTTGTTAAGTCAATATAGGTCCCTTGGCAATTCTATTTTGGAGAACTGATTCTGAGACTGCATCCTTCTAGAAATAATAATAACCTAGTAAGAATAAATGAACTCTTCCAATATACAAATGGTACAGCAGAAGTTCAGAGAAAAAGAGGACCACCACCAAGAAGCCTAATGGACACAGTGACTGTAACAATGGACTCAAATGTAACAGCAACTATGAGATGCAAACCAGGCTTTGTGTCCTTCTGTTGTGCATAAGGCTGCGATTCGTCTGAACTCACTCAACAGCATCTAACAGCAACAAGGTACAAAGGCATGATACTAAGTAACTGAATTTAAAGATGATCCTCTACATTAGGAACTGTCATACTCCCATTTTACAGAAAACAGAGAAAAGGTTAGCCCACTTGTGAAAACATCACATGGATGTGTGATCGCTACCATGACATAGAGCATGTTTGGTTAAGGCTTGCAATGAACACGCTCCATCTCATACCTGTTTTCTGGAAAAGAGGATTTCTCAGAACCATCCCATTGATCCCTAAAAACAAACAACCCTGATCTGCATTTCACTGATCTTTCTCTCACTTTCTTTTTCATATTATCTTTTTAATTTATTCTCTGATCTTTGTTATCTCCTTCCTTCTGGAAGCTTTGTTGTGAGTTTGCTTTGTTTTCTAGCCACCCCCCCCCCACTGCCCCCAAGTTGTAGTGTTAAGTTATTGACCTGAGATCTTTCTTCTTTTAGAATAGAGATGTTCACCATTATAAACACCACTCCCAGTCCAGCATTGGCTTCACTGTATTCTTTAAGTTTTATTATATTGTCTTTACATTTTCATTTGGCTCTACATGTATTCCTCTCTCAATTTCTCCATGGACTCATGGGTTGTTCAACAGCCTGGCTTTTAATGCCCACATGTTTATATATCTTCCAATGTTCCTTCTAAAGATGCTTTGTAAAATTTAATTTGCAGGGAATTTAGGGGTTATTCTGTGACCTAAGCTGTGGTCTTTCCTGGAGAGTGATCCACATTTGGTGGATAAGAAGGTGTATTGCTGGTACGGGGTTCTCTATATGTCTGTTAGGTTTCGTTGGTTTCTAGTGCTGCTCAAATTTTCTGTTTCTTTTATATCTTCTCTGTAAACTTCCAACAATTATTAAAAGTGCTGTGGTGATGTCTCCAAATATTATTGCAGAACTGTCCTTTATTCCTTTCAATTCTGTTAGGACTAGAATCATATATGAGGGTGAGTCAGAATATTGCTACAAAATGATGGAAGCATTATTAAACAGAAATATCAAAGTGTGAAACCACTTTCTCTTCATAGATCCTTCGTCTAGGTCTATGCATTCCTGAAGCCAGTGTTTCTCCATCTCTAATCCCTTTCCAGAAGAATTCTGCACTCTTTAAAAGAGTAGGGTTGCCATCCTCAAGAATAGGTTTTTGAAAACAAAAATAGGTCTACGGAGGCAAAGATCAGGGCTAACAAGTTTTCACATTCAAAACTTTTATTTCAATATTCTCTAACTCATTGATTCTTTCTTCAGAATTATCAAATCTCCTGTTGAACCCTTGTCGAGAAATTATCTAAGTATTGTATTTTCAGTGTATTTGTTCCATTCATAGCTCTTTATTGGTATATTTGATGAAGTAATGGTGATGCTCTTAGCTGTTAACCAAAAGGAGGTTTGAACTCATCCAAGGGTTCCCAGGGAGAAAGACCTCTTGCTCTACTTCCCATAAAGAAGAGAGCCAAGAAAACCTTGGGAGGGCAAATTCTACTGTTACAGAGGGTTGCTATGAATTTAATTTTATTTGGTTGCACCTATCAACAATAACATCTCTTTACATGTAGTCTCATTTTGTTCATGTATAGGGTTCCTGGCTTCTTAGTTCTTTGTCCACATATTCTTCAGTTCTTTGAACATGTTTAATACTGAACATGCCTTTTAATCTGCTCAATAGATGGGATACCAGAGAAATAGTTTCTCTCACTTCATTTTGTTCCTTTAGAGGTGCCATCGTTTTCAGTTTATTTGTCTGCCTTAAGGCCTTTGTTGAACCTGAGATATTGGAATACTACAATGTGTTAGTGAGTCTGTGTGTGGACCTCTCAATTTGCCCAAACACACAAGCCCTTCAAAAGTTGTCACTTCTGTTAGAAATTCTCAGGTGGGCACGGTCTTTGTTCACTGCACCCTTCCCCACTCTTGAGAGTTCTGATTCAGGACAAGCCTAGTTCTGCAGACAGATATCAAGTTAGATTAGAACGGATGCACCACATTAGAACAATTTGCAATAGAAATCTGCTCTAATCCCCCTGGTTTACCACTATTCTAGCCACGTGGCAGCTCTGCCAGCAGGGGGAAGAATGGCAGCAACAGAAAACTAAGTTCCCAACGGTTTAAAATCAGCCTTTCCTTGTTTCAGATTGTGGCTAGTTGTTGCAATCCCTCCACATACTTTTGCAAAGTTACTGTAGAACTGAGACAACAGATTTACAGTTGCTTTTCTTGGTGTTCATGTGGGAGTGTGAGGCTATTAGAACTATTCACACTCCATCTTTACAGAAGTCCATCTTGGACTTCCAAATTGGATGGGCAAAGCAATAACATTTTCTTCTAGTACTTGCTATCAGTTATTGAACCAGAAGTTATTTAAGATATGTGACCAAAAAAGTCACTACACAATTTTTTTCTATATTATTAAAAAAAGAGTTTTATAAAACACAAAAATATGGTCAAATCTTATTGTGAATTGATTGTCTGCATCTTTAAGAGTTTGTTGTGAATTGATTTTCTACATCTTTAAGAATTGAATTAATGACCTAAGGTTCTTAAATGGAAAAAAAAATTAATGACTGTCACAGTGAGTGAGTATTATCTGTAACTAAGTCCTTTTTTCAAATTGCTTTCTAAAACCAAATTGTAATAATGAAAATGTTCCATAGTCTGTGATTTCCAATATATTAGTCCCTAGCCACATGTAACTAATGAGAAGTTGAAATCTGGTTAGCACATGGAGAGACTTAAATTTTAATTTAAATTAATTAAAGTTTATATTTAAATACCTATATGCAGCTCAAAGCCACCATAGTGGACAGTTAGTGTTATTGGTAGGTGCTGTCAAACATGACTGACACACAGTGACCCTATGTCCAGTAGAAAGAAGCACTGCCCCATCCTGCTCCATTCTTACCATGGACATGTTTGAGCCACTGTTGCAATCCATCTCATTAAGGGTCTTCTTCTTCACTATCTTCTATCTAGTAAGGTATCTTTCTCCATGGACTGGTCACTCCTAATAACATGTCCAACGTACATGAGACAAAGTCTAGGTATCCCCCTTCTTCTAAGAAGCCATCTGGCTGTATTTCTGCCAAGACAGATTTATTTGTTCTTCCGGCAATCCATGTCAATATTCTTCACCACCAATTCTTCTGAGGTTTTTACTCATTGTCCATCTTTCACATATATATGAGGCAACTGAAAATACTTGGCTTGGGTCAGGCACACCTTAGTGCTCATATCGACATTTTTGCTCAGTAACACTGTAAAGAAGTCTTTTGTCATAGATTTACCCAATACCATGCATCATTTGATTTTTGTTTTGCTGCTTCCAAGAGCCTTGATTTGGGATCTAAACACGGTGAAATTCTTGGTGATGCCAATCTTTTATTCAGTTTATCATAATGCTGTCTGTTGTACCAGGTGTGAGGCCATCTGTTTCCTGCACATTAAGTTGTGAGCCCACGGAAGGCTGCGGCCTATGATTTCTATTGCCAAGGGCTTCAAGTCCTCTTTATTTTCACCAAGCAAGATCGTGCCACCTTCATACTGCGTTGTTCGTAGCTTCCTCCAACTCTGACGCTGTCCTGCTCTTCATACGATCCAGCTTCTCGCATTATTGGTTCAGCATATGAACCAATATGTATGATGCAAGGACACAACCACTGCCACACACTTTTCCTGATTTTAAACCAGGCAGTGTGCCTTATTTGGTGCAAACAAAAGCCACTTGGCCTCTGTACAGTTTTTGCATGAGGACAATTAAATATTCAGGAATTCCCATTCTTCCCAATAGTATCTATAGTTCACTATGAACCACACAATCCCTCTTTCCATCGCCTCTTTTGAAATTGCCTTGAGTTTCTGGAAGTTACCTGTTGATGTACTGCTTCAACCCTTTCTGTATTATCTTCAGCAAAATTTTACTTCTGTGTGGAGCTAATGATAGTTTCCAATTATTTCCATATTCTATTGGATTATCTTTCTTTGGAAGGGGTACAAATATGAATCTCTTGATTGACCAGACAGCTGTCTTGCAAATTTCTTGGCATAACTAGTGAGTGTTTCTAGAGCCGTATCAGTTATTTGGAACATTTCCATTGGTATTCTCTTAATTTCAAGGACCTTGTTTTTCACTAATTGGACAGAGTAAACCTAAATTATCTAACATCTGTAAATATTCCTTTATTTTAAAAACCCTAGAGAATAGTTTATACAAGGTGATGTCAAGTATTTAAAATGGACATATAATGTTGTCTTTTGGTATCTCTGGATGCAGAAATTCAAAGAAGTATCAATATTCTTCTTTTTAAACAACAATACCTTTTCAATTACTGCAATGGCTAAATATTAGTTTTAAAGTCTGAAAATAAATGGCATTGTGTATTTAAACATAGACAGTTTGGGATGTACAGTTTATATTTTTTTTCTCTAGTTGGAAAATATGAGAGGTTCCTCCTTTCAAACCAGAAAAACACTAAAACTTTGTATTCTATAAAAGTCTCCACTCATTAAAAAATTACCAATACCACTCTAGGTTTTAATTGAACTAAATGTTTAGAGACATTCCATCTTACCTCTTCATAAATTTTATCATCATCTTCTTGTACTCCGTTATCTGCAAAAGACAGGAGCATGATCAAATTCCTTGTCAAGAACGCCATCACAAGGTGTCAGAGCATGGAAAAAGATAACTACATAGAATCCTTCTTTGCAGAAGATTGAGCATAATGATGTTGGTCTCGTTTTTCATATAAAGTAAATGTATTCTATCTGTAGCAAAAATAATCGTGTTCCATAAACTTCATGCAAAAGGAGGGCTGTTCACTAAGTGAATTATAGCCGTGAGAGCTTTCATAATTTACATAACTCAGTTCCATGGCCTTATGTATTAGAGATAATGCTAGCTCACAGCAAGAAAACTCCATTGTACCTAGCAGCAGTTAATATTTACAAACAACTAGACTGCTGTCTCTAGCCCAAACCACTTAGCAGTTCAGATAACTTCAGCTTTCCTTGACTTGGGTTATCTGACTGTGGTGGCCACTCCTGTCTAATGAAACATGCCTACAAAGTCCAGCAGTGCACAACGCATTGTACTTGCCTCAATCTGGGGCTTTAGTTCCTTGGGGACACCAGCCATGTCCCAGAGACCTTTTATATCCCTCTTAGTCCACCGGTGAAGTGTTGATGCTTTTTACATGATTGGTAAACACCAACCACTGTTACGAGGAGTTTCATTATATTTTCCCACATTGTACTCATTGGTCTCGTAATGCTTCCAAACTCCAAGTAAGCCTTCATCGCAACCCACAGAGGAAACAGGAACACATCTTCCATGTGTGTTTTTGTTACATGCCTACTTTGTGCAAGTACTTTGTTCGACATGTTCAGATAAATCCAACAAATCTAAACCATAAGCAGGCATCTCCCTGTCCTTGCAACCGCACAGGGCAGAATGGAACTGCTCCCTGGATTTCTAAGACTATAAATAGGGCAGTAGCCAGCCTCATTTTTCCCTCATGGGATGGCTCATGAGTTTGATTCACTGGCCTTGTGGTTAGCAGCCCAATGCTTAACCCACTGAACCACCAGAGAAGTCAACCCATGTGTTGCCAGAATCAGCCTCAGGGGTGGGTGTGGGCTCCAGGTAGACGCTTGATTTAACCCTTTTCACTTTACTATTCAAACATTTGACAATATTCGCTCTCTCACTATCCAAACACAAACACTTCCTCTCACTATTTGTTACCTTTCTAGCTGAACCTCAGCAGAGAAGAATTACACCTCCTTGCAGAGAACAATTTGCCTTTCAACATAATTGCACTGGTAGGCTCAGCCTGTTAAGAAAGCTTTTAAAGGCAAAGTTCAAACAGATAAAAATCACTAATACAAATCCCCATCTCTCCAGCAGCAAGAATGCATGAAAGCTTTGGTAAGCCTGCAGATCTCTGAGCAGCTCCAAGACCTCATCCCACCCCTGCAAATAGCTGCTACTGCCAATGTCAATGAGTCTAGAAGCTGGAAGTGACACTTCATATACCTTTGTCACCCTTCTTGTCGTCTTCATAAAATGCTGCTGCGGAGCTGCCCGCCTCTTCCCTGGGCTTTCCACCAGCTTTGCTCTTGCCACTCTCCCGATCCTCTCCTGCCCCTGCATCGTGCATGGCATCAGCAATTACACTGGCGATGGCATCAAGCTCCAGGAGATCCATACTGTCCACATCGACCTGCTGCTTTCTGAGGTCCTTCAGGAGATTCTGAATAAGCATGTCTAAAGTGCACACACAAAAATAAAACACATGCACATTATGCATGGAAATATCCAAAAGATGTGATAGCAAGCCTGATTGCCAGGAAATACACCAGGGATATCCAAATAGAAAGGATACAAGGAGTCCTGGATGTATCGTGCGTACAGGTTGGGCTGTGATCCCCAATGTCAGCAGTTCAAAACCCCCAGCTGCTCCTCGGGAGAAATTTGGGGCTTTCTACTCCGGTAAAGTGTTCCAGTCTGGAACACTTCCAAGGAGAGTTCGACACTGTTGCTATAAGCTGGAGTCCATTCCAGAGCAGTGAGCTGTTACACAAATACATTGGGGCAAGTTTCCTTTGGTATCAAACAGGGTGGGTACTTAAAAATATTTTTCTTCTATTTTTTTTTCAATTTTAATCACACACATAAAACTCAGGCTATTATTATAGTTTAATGTCATTTAAAGATCAAAATAGAAGTATATAAGAGAGAGAACTAGGAATGAACTCATTCATCAGATTGACCCATCACTCATTTAATCAATTATGACTCATATGGACCCTTTATAGGGTTTTTGAGACTATATCTTTATAGGAACAAATAGTCACATCTTTCTCCCATGGAGGACTTGTTGGGTTTGAACCACCAACTTGCATTAGCAGTCAATTGCTTACCCCACAGTGTAAGTAGAGCTCCTTTATTAGTCTGATTCAGAAGATTGAATGTGATACTTTGTTATCATTTTCAAAGTGTAGATGGATTAGATTGGATCATCCAAAATGTGTGTTTACATAAACCCTTGTACCTTGTACGTTGTACAGGTACCTTGTACCTGAAGCTACAGTCTGGTCCCTGAGTGGGTCAAGTGACTGTGAACCTAAAGAATGGTCTGAGCCAACCCAGAGTCTGCACAACAGAAAGGTCTCGGTAAAGATGACAGCCAAGAAGATCGTATAGAGCAATTCTACTCTACACCACCCAGGGTTGTCATGAGCCTGAATAAACCCAACAGCAATTGTGTGTGCGTGTGTGTGTGTGTGTGTGTGTGTGTGTGTGTG